GGGGCTGGTGGCGGCTGGTGGCGGCTGGTGGTGGCGGTGGCGGCAGTGGCGGTGGCGGCGGCGGCGGTGGTGGTGGTGGTGGTGGTGGTGGCTGGCGGTGATAGTGGCCAGTGGCGGCTGGTGGTGGTGAGTGTCGGGTGGGGTCAGGCGACTGCTGCTGCTGCTGGTCAGGCGCCCAGGTGGCGACACTCGGGCGGGTTTGGCCAAGACCTTTGCAGCCCGCCAGCTGTACCGCTTCCCCTGTACTGCTTCCCCTGCCCTGCCCCACGCGCTGCCGGGCACCGCCTGGCCGTGTTGTACCGCCCTGCCCGTACCGCAGGTACGCCATCCCCACCTGGCAGGACGAGCAGGACGTGCGGTCGGGCAAGAAGGTGCGGCGCGGCTGCCGCCGCCGCTGCCTTGCGCATGCCATGCATGGGCAGGCGCGCAGAGCATGTGCGCGCGTGCGTGCGGGCCGTTTCGGTGGGCGAGCCCTGCAGGCACCGCCTCCTGGCCCACCCCACGACCTCGGTCCCTTCTCCCAGCCTGCCTCCTGCTGAGCTGCGTGCCTGCCCCCATCCCTGCCGCGTGCAGCTGGGCACCATGTGGGGCATCTTCTCCAAGGAGGACGCAGACAAGATCATCCCAGAGGTGTGGGGTGGGGTGGGTGCGCCCGTGTGCGGGTGTAGCAGCAGCTTATTGCACGCAAGGGGCAGCGCGGGCCCGCCCCGCTGCTGCCTTCGAGGCCGGGCAGCAGCGCTGCCCGCCCTGGCGGTCGCGTGGACCACAGCCCTGATGCAAGGGCGCTTTGTTTCGCCCGAAGCCCGGCCTACCCCCCTCGTACACCGCACCCACCCGCTCGCGTGCGGCACACGCCGTGCCTCCCTCCCCGCCTCGCCGCCCCCGCAGGGCCACCGCCACCCGCACTTCAGCAAGGACCAGCCCGAGGACGACTCTGCCACCGCCTCCGAGTTTAAGGACACCCCAGAGGACCGCCCCGAGGGCCCTGCCGCCGCCGCAGAGCGATATGGGGGCTCTGCCGCCGTAGAGGGCGGCGCTGCCGCGCGGGGCAAGCAGGCGCAGCAGCCCTCGCTGCGGGTGGAGCCGTTTGGCGGCCGCCAGCAGGCGTGAGGGCTGGTGCCAGCCGCAGGGGATGCTGCTGCTCAGCCGGGGCAGCCGTTCCGTGTGGCCCAACGGCGGCGACTTGGCGGCAGTGAATTAAACATGGCCCCTGATTGGCGCCAGGCCTGCTCGCCCCTCCCCCCAACCACGATCCCTTGGGATGCTTTTGCCAACCGCCTTGCCCTGATTTATGATCAACATTCCTTCCGGCAGCCCGCTGGCCTCCCGCTCCTGTGTCGCCACGCGTGGCCCTGTTTTGCAAGCTTGCCTCGGAGCGTGCGTGCGTCCGTCACACGGTCAGACAAGCGGCCGGATGCCCCCCGGCGCCCCTCCCCACACAGCCAGCCGGCCCGTCAGTCGCTGACAGGCGACAGCTCGCCGCCGCTGCCGCCGCCGGCCCCGCCTGCGGGCCCGGCGCCCAGCCGGGGCCGGGGCTTGGTGCGGGCGCACGGGCGCTTGCCCGCCGCCGCCGCCGCCTCTGCCGCACCGAATGTGAAGGCGTCGCCCTGACGCAGCTTGGTGCGCAGGCTGGGCTGCGCGTAGCTGACCGGGTTGCGGGCGCGCTGGGAGGATCGCAGCGCGGTGCCAGGAGGCGCAGCAGGCGCCGCCTCGTGGCTGCAGGGCGGGGCGGGGCGGCGGCGAAAGCAGGGCTGGGCATGAGCGGGCCGCTGCGGATTACTGCTGGTGGGTGCTGCAAGCAGGCATGGGTGCTGCAAGCAGGCATGGCAACCAGGCAGCACCACGCATGCAAGCAGCGCGTACAGACCTGCCGCCGGCATGCGGCACGGGCGTGTCGGACAGAGGCGACGCAGCGCCTCCTGCCGCCCCCGGCTCGCCAGCTCTCTGCTCGCCGCCGCCGCCCTGCCGCTGCTGCCGCTGCTGCGGCACCGCTGCCGCCTCATATCGCTCAGCAGCCGAGCGGCGGTGCACAGCAGGAGACGACTCGCTGCCGCTGCTGCGGGGCCCGGCCTGCCCCGCCTGCTCTTCGCCGCCCAGTGCCTCCTCCTCTACCTCCACAGCAAGCTGCCGGTAATGCACGTGCAGGGCGGTGGGCCTGCTCCTGCTGCCCGCTGCCACCGCGGCGAGGCTGCTCCGTGCCGCCGCCGCTGGCACCGGCGTGGGCGCCTGCTCGCAGCTGGCGGCGGCGCCCCCCGCGGTCTCCCTTTCCCTGCTGCCGCGCTGCTCAGCGAGCTTGCCCTCTAAGTAGGCAATGATGTCCTGCAGGGCAGCGCAGCCAGGTGTGGCAAACTTCACCGAATGTGGGTGCTGGCCACCGGCAATGCTGCTGCAGCCCTGCGTGCAGACGGGCATGGCGGGTGCTGGGATGCTTCGCCCAGGCAGCCTGCCGTGCCGGTTACGTTCAAACCTGCTTGCCCGCCAGCTGCCGCTGCAGCGCGCGCGCCTCCTCCTCCGCCCGCTGCAGCTGGTGCTGCGTGCGGGCCAGCTTGCGGGCGGCCTCGCGCTCCCGCGCGGTGGCAGCCGCACGCTGGCAGCCCGCCTCGTGCTGCAGCACATCCACTTCGCCCCGCAGCCGCGCCAGCTGCTCCTGAAGCCGCAGGTTGCTGCGAGCCAGGGCGGTGTTGTTCTCAGAGGCGCGCTGCGTGTGTGCCGCCAGCCGCGCCTCCGCCTCCTGCCGCCGCGCGCGCTCCACAGCCAGCTCTCGCTCCGCCTGCTGCTGCACGGCCCTGCACAGTGCCGGTTTGGGGCGGGCGGCACGCCGGGCGGGGCGAGGTGGCGGCGGCAGCAGGGGGTTGCAGAGGGGCGCCTGCGGGCGCGTGGGCGCCTTGCGGCAGCCTGCCTGCGGCCTGGCGTGCTGGAAAAGGGCAGCAGGCGTGGCCCACCGTGACTCCTTCGTCCTCATCACCGCGGGGTGGACGCTGCGCGGAACCTCCTGTGCGGCAAATCGCCAGTAAGAGGGCGTTCGGCAACTCCCAATGCTGCAGGTGGGATGAAACGAGCCCCCTGCGCTGAATGGCGGGTGCATGCATCGGATGATCCGCTTTCCAATTTGTTCGAAAACGCTGTAGACAGCCAAGCCTCCCCAGCTGCCTCCATGACTGCTCCGTGCTGTGTTGGTTTACATGAGTGCTGGCAGGACCCCAGCATTGAATAATACCTGCCATGTGCCCGGTACAATGCTAAAGGCCAAGCAGGAGCGGAAAAGAGAGGGGCTGGCTGGAGCGACAGAATGGAAGTCATAGCAGCAAGGACACCATTTGAGCAGTCAGCTCGAGAGTCACCTCTCTGCTGCTGCTGCTGCGGTCATGCTCAAGTGTAGACGGGGGCCGGAGGCGGGCTCGTGTCTCAGAGCGCCCGCCGCTGACAGCGGTCTCCCGGAAAACCTACCTACGCCTGCCTGCCTTGAGCCTGGTGAAGCCCCGGCCAACCTGGCCGATGGCTGCGGCTGGACGACTATGCGGCCTCACACCGGCAGCGACGCCAGCTTGGCGACCTCCTGCTGCAGCTGCGCATTGATGGCCGCGTCCCGGCTGCACACCGACTTGAGCTCGGCCTGCAGAGACGCGGCAGCCCGTTTGTAGGAGGGAGCAGGGAGGCATGGTCAGCACCCACAATGGAAGCTCAGACGGCAGGCAGGCAGGCAGGCACGCCGGCATCGAGTGCCCCTTCTGCTTGCCCTGCAAACATCCCTGCCTGCACCCTCCCCTGTTCCTCCAGCCCCACCCCTGAACCAAATCACAGCGCATCCAACCAACCACCATCCACCCACCGCGCACCCACCCCCACCTGCAGCTGCAGCTTGTGGTTGAGGATCTTCTCCAACGCGGCGCTGAGGTCGCGGTGCAGCGTCGCATTCTCCAGCTCGCACTGCCTGCAGGCGGGCGACAGGCGGGTGACCGTGGGAGGGCAGGCAGCCGGTCGGGCGCTTCGCAGCGCGGCATGCAGCGGCAGCCGATGAGGCGCGACAGTAGCCAGCCCCACCCTGCCCCGCCCCGCCCATCCCGCCCCCAGCCCGCTCCCGGCCGCTCGGCCCACCCCATCAGGTCCTCGTACGCCGCCTGCAGGCCGCGCAGGCGCTCCTCGCTGGCGGCCACCCCCGCGCCGTTGGCGTTGCGCAGCTGGGCCACCTCGGAGGCCAGCAGGTCGACGTGGGCGTTGGCGGCGGCGATATCGCGCTCCAGCGCCTCCTTGGCCGCACGGTACTGCCCGTCCAGCTTGTGGGCCTGCACGGGGGACGTGCGGTACCATTCACATGAACCAACGGCGCAGCAGTGCCGCGCAAGCATCGCCGAGTGGTGGAAGGCAGCCGGCCAGCCGCTGTGCTGCCACCCATGCCACAGCCGCCGCCTGCGTGCGCTGGCTGCCACCACTTATATGACTCTGTCCCGCTGTGCTCTGTGCACCCCTCACCGGCAGCCGCCCCCCCGACCCCACCTGCGCCTCTGCGTTGCGGTTCTCCTCCTCCCGCTCCGCCAGCAGCTCCCGCATGCTGTCGTGCTGCTCCTGCAGGCTCAGCAGCTGGTCCGCCAGGTCGCGAGCCTTGGCGCTGTAGCCGTCGCGCAGCCGCTGCAGGGCGGGCTTGACGATGCCCTGCAGTGGGTGGGAGTTGGGGCGGCAGGTGGGGCCGGCGGGCGCAGGCAAGGGCAGGGGTGGGGCCAGAATGCGGCTTGCCGGTGGTTGGCGGCGGTGCGTGCGCAAGATGGGTGTGGGGCAGGCAAGGTGGGACAGAACAGCAGAGAGGCAGCAATCTGGAGCAGCGGCGAGGCCGTGTCGCACTGGGGCGGCACGACGGGGGGCTGACCTGCAGCAAACAACCAGCCCGCACAGCACGCCCCTCTGCCCGCTGTGCGACCACCACACCGTTGCCACCCACACCGGGCAGCACACCCATCCACAACAGGGCCTCACCTTGAGGTCAACGTTGATCATCTCAGAGGCGGAGGCGGCCCCCCGGTCCAGCCGCACCTCAAACGCCACACCCTCTGCCCGCTTGGCGGTGGCCGGGATCAGCGCCAGGCGGTCGGCCATGCTGTGGTAGTGCTGCGGACAGGGGAGCGGCGGGGGGGGGGCACGTCGGCGCCGCCTGCCACGTCAGCCCGGCCCATGCCACGCCGCCGCGATTCACCGCTCCACCAGGTGCCCACTCTTTCCTTCCCCAGCGCCACGCACTCACGCGCACACGCACACACACATAAACACACAGCGCACCAGCAGCGCTGCCTCCACCGCATCCAGCCGCGCCTCGATGCCCCGCTCCTGCTCCGCCACCCGCCGGTCCAGCGCCTCGCGCTGCCCCTGGGTGGACCGCAGCGCAGACTCGTGCTTGGCCCTGCATGCGGGCGGCGGCGGCGGCGCTCGGTGCATCGGGGTGTGGTGCACAGCACCGGGCGCAGCGCACGCGGAGCAGCGAGCCGCCGCCGTGGCCAACCAGGCAGGCAGCTGGGTGCTGGGCCATGCAGGC